TGGACAAGAAGCCGAAACAACCTCAAAGTAAATGGGACACGGGAAAGTGAAGGAGGGAGAGGAAGTGGAAGCTGTGATGAAGAGAGAGAGAGAGAGAGAAAGAGGAAGAAGTGGGTGGGGGCGGAAAGCCAGAAAACATGGCGGTCTTTTTCAGTGCTGTTTGTTTGTTTGTTTGTTTGACTGTGTAGTGTGTAGTGAGTAGTGAGTAGTGGTGTCTCTTGTTTGTTTGGTATATGTGGTTTGCTTTTGTAGACTTTTTAAACACTTGTATGGGTTGGTGGGTGTCATTAATTGCAAACTTGAAACTTTTTCAAACTTGCTATCACTCCTTGGCTGGCCCTCAATCATTTTATGGTTTCAACTTTGAAACTTCAAGTGGATAAGACCCTTGTGGAGAAAGGAAGGATAAAAGTTTTCCATGCTCTTGCTTTTAGGTTCCACCAAAAAGAAAAGATCTCTCGTATCAATGGAGATGTTAGTTCTGTTTCCTTTTCGTATCTCCTACCGAAACTACCCGAGAGTGGGACGGTAATCGTGGGGATACCAGCAGGGTTGATTGATGTGTAAAGGGCAAAGGGGAATGGAATACGCCATGGATGGGCAATTGATGATATAAAGGCATTCTTCCCTCTCAAAGTTTGGCCTTCGCGTAGATTCCCACTAACAATGCCCACCCAATCCAGCAACGTATCTTTTAAATTTCTACTTTTTTTTTTTTTACTGTCAACCACATCATAATCCTTTCTTACGAATTTATGCCCAAATATCTGGTCTGCTTACACCATTCTCTATCTCATTTCTTGTTTTTATCTTTATTCCTCATTTTTAGGGAACTGTTTATTGGAGAAATAGGTGGTTATTTACTGCTACTACTGAAAGATGTGAATTTGCATCTTTGATTAAATGTTTGCTTCATATTGATTATGAAAAATTGGGTAGGGATATGGAAATTTCACCTTCAAAAGACCATATCATGGAAAATAATAGTTTAAATGCTCTATCATGTATCACCCTTCATTATTCAATTCCAGCAATATTAATTAAGTAGGATCTTGATTGGAAAAAAATTAATATCTTTGCAACGAAGTCAAAAGAAGATATTAAGAATTAAATTAAAAATGTCTTAAACTTCGAAATCAGTTTTTTAATTTTCAAATTTATTCATAAATACGCCCATTAAATTATTGGTTCACTTTTTTTTTTTGTCTCCCCTTACTTCCGGTTGTACATTGTATTTTAATTGTCAACTCAAACATAATTCAACCTCGAAGTTGAAGGATAAATCTCTCACCCTGCTTATTAAAAACAATAAAATTGCATTTTAATAATTAGGTGCATGTTCGATAATGTTAATGGTTTTTGTTTTTTATTTCTTTTGTTTACAGAATAACCATATTCACTGGTAACTTGTTTATATGACGCTCTACTCATCAAAAGTAAAATTTAAACTCCATTGAAGTTCTAAAATTAGAAAATCAACAATATGATTAACAATTTAACGTAACGTTTGGGCTTCATTTCATAACAATTCTATTTCTTGTGTACTGCAAATTTATATTTTTAATCTTATACGTTCTAAATGAATTTTCTAGTAAATATAGAAACTTAGCCTTTTATGTATTTATTTCAGTTATTTTTTTTTATTTACTTTGAATGGTCAAGAACATGTATGTAGTGATTTGTGGACATGTGGCATGGTAGGATTAGAAACGTAATGGGTAAGTCTTGTATGACAACAAGTAACATGACACATGATGATTCATGGTTGACTTTAAAGTTACCATCACATTTCCAATATTTGTATTTCTATCCTGATTTTGCACATCACCCAATATTTTAGGCATCATTTTCTTCACCATTTAAGCCAAAGTCAATTGATACACCACATTAATACCCTAGGTTAAGTTAAATTAATTAGCGTGTAATGTCCAAAATTTCTCTAATTTGTTCCTCTTCATTTTTTTTTTCAAAAAAGAAAAAGTTATCAATTTTTTTTTCCTAATCTGATTGAGATATGAAATTCACATGTAGGGTTTACCTTAGACCACGATAATCATAATATAATGTTATATACTCATCCTTTACTAATAGTTAGAAACTTGTGAAATAGATAGATTTTTGTTTTATGGTTTAAATATTATTTTAGTCCCTTTACTTTTGACTGGTTCATTTTTGCCTTTATACTTTCAAAACATTCATTTGGATTATTCTAGTCAACGTTCGTTTTGATGTTTAAATTTTAACACAAATTTTATATATAATAAAAATCATTTAATACAAGTTTTTGAATAAATTTAATGAATGAAATGTGATGCTAAAATTATAATTGAAATAAAAATGAAGAGACTAGAATGATAAGTTTTTAGAAATGGGAAGGGTATTGGAGGATGAGTAACTGGATCAGAGGGCCTGGGCCTGAGCCTGATCATCGACTTATTAGAAATTGGGCCTGGTTGTGGCCCAGAACAGAGAAAGTAGGACCGTATAGTTCAAATTCAAATAGAAGGAAAGTACGTACGTAAAAATAATAATTAAAGAGATTTTTCCGGTGGGTTCTCTTCTTATCAACATTGATGTCCGGTGGACCCTAATGACTGTATTTGGTTGGACTTAGACCACGGGTCACTAGAAATTAGGGTTCAAAATCTGCAGCTTTTTTAGGGTTCAGATTCTTGAACCTTCTTCTCCTCGCCTGGGCCCGCAGTACTGTCTTTTAGAACTCTCATGTCTTAATCCAACGGCCGTAGGGATAGGGCTCACCATAAACACTCTTCATTGCAACTTAGACGATCCAAGCCCAAATATCATTCTACCTAATAACCACTACGTAGACCATCTTGCCATTAATTTGACGTCTTTTTTTCCGGATAAATAGGTGGACCACGTCCTATGCATATTACACCGAAATTTTAAATGTGGATGGATGTCCGAAATCCCAATTTATGAAAAATTGATATTTCTGTAAAAATGATAAAAATAAAAAATTCATGAAAAATATATAAATTGACAAATAAATATTTCACTATCCCTAGATAAATTAAAAATGATTAATATTAATATTATGTCTATATTTGTGATATTTTACATATTTTATCGATTTTTTTAAAATATTATGGAAATATTGACATGTTGACATAGTATTATAGGTATATATATATAGGCCACTCACTGATATAGCAAAAAATTAATGGGTAATAACAAATATAAAGTAGATTCTACTCATCGTGATGATATACCAACACCAAATATCAAGTATGATATGTTTTATGTTAAGTATAAYTGATTTACCTAATATCATGTATAACATCGTTCATATTAAGTATATTAGTTACATATATATTATTGATATATCAACCATATCAATAAAATAATTTATATTTGATATATCAGTTATGTTATCGAAGTATGAGATACGTAATATCAAATATATAAGTAATATACTTCATATTAAATATATAAGTTATATAAGTGATATATCTACTCTAAAGTATGTCACCAATATACTTAAATCTACGATGTTTAAGTATATATTAATAAGAAAACTTACCATATTACTTAAACCAAAATCTTTAACTCGAAGAATATTTATTATCGATATATTAAATATGAAATATCACATTCCTAAGTCATTATATTTGGTATATCTGTTATATATTTGATAATATAAAATATACTAGAAAAAAGAAAAAGGATCCAATGATTTGTAAAGAATTGAATGAGGAGTCGTATGAGGGGGAGTCTGACGTCAGACCAATCCAATTCATCCTGTTAAAATTGAAAAAACAAAAAAAAAATCCAGACTTAAAAGTTTTTACCGTATTTACCCAACAAAAAGTGGTTGCTAAATTTATAAATGTGACAAATATTTTTATTAGCCATTAAAAATACCCTATGTGACTGTGAGTATAAGATGTGACATCAACATTTCGTTGATGTTATAAGCTGTGATTAAAACTAGATTGTTAATTATAATAGTTCACTAATGATAGCTTAGTGAGTCTTTGACAATTTGGTGGTTGAAATCTAATAGGATTGGAACTTCCCAACCCTTTTAAAGATTACTTCCATTTATAAACTAATTACTGTTAATAAATTAGGGTTTTTTATCCTTATTTAAAAAAAGAAAAGAAATTAGGCTGTTATCACTTGCAAAGAACATCTGAACCGCACTTATTAAACTAAAATTGTAAGATTTCATGGACTAACGCTATAGTGAGGAATAATGATTAGTGAAAGCCTCTTAGAGAAGAATCATGATTAGAAAATCGAATGTAGTAAAGTTGTGTGCCAAAACTTTTTGACTTTTGTATAATCAGAGCATCTTCAAATAAATTTGTTCACACTGTTATTTTGCATATTTTTCAGTGCCTTTAGAAGGTACAGAATCATTCAGACTCCATCACCAGTCACCACATGTTAGATCGTTTGCCACAATGCCCTTGGAAAAAGAAAAGTTTGAGACTTGTAATTAGAATGTCTTAGCCAATCCCGAATGAAAAATGTGATATTTAACATACAAAAATGAGAAAACTAGGATTGAGTTACAAATTTAGTCTTCTTGCATGGTCACAATTTGGTATGTGGTTTTAAAGATTTGAATTTAACCTAGTTATATTTTTGGTTTGTCCTATTATATTAATTAGTTAACTATATTAAAGTTTAGAGTTAATCGACACAATATAGAGATTAAATTGAAACTGGAACAAACCTGTAATTTAGCTAAAAAAGAATTTTTACAACCCTCACCAAAATGAAAAGCTTCAGAATAACATTGTTAAGAATATCATATCAGTTTGGATTGTTAAGAAGTACCATCAAAGGGAAAACTTTCGGGTACCAACTTGTCCCAGATCAACCATTGAAGTGAAAGATCGCCACTTTGATCAGGATGAACGGCGATTGCACTATGAAGATTGAATTACTACGGTACACGACAAGTAGGCAAGTAATCCCAATTGAATATGGCTTGCTAATGGCCACTTAGCTTGAATTACAAGGGATCTTCTCTGATTAGTCAATAAACACAGGGGATGTTCAGCCGCTGCTATTTGTTCTTCATTTCTTTTTAGTTTTCTTTTGGAACTTTTCAACAAACAATAAAAAATAGGTTGTATAAAATTATTAAAGTACAACTCTACTTTTTTTCTTCTTCTACTACTTCCTGATGTGAGTTTTGGGAGAAGCCTACTTTTTTTCTTCTTCTACTACTTCCTGATGTGAGTTTTGGGAGAAGCTGGTTTTCTGAAAAGATGGCTAAGCGGTGAAATTGATAGAAGGATATCAATCAATTTACAAAAGGGCAGATTGGTCTTGGTCTTCTCTTCTTTAGTCTTTTTAAAGTTTTAATTTTTTTTTTGGTTCTTGTCACCCTTTTGCTTTGTCTGTTTTACTGCTGAAAACGTACAGGTGGCGAACTCTTCTTTCGTAGCTCTCTTTATCCGTCTCTGTCTAACCTCCAAGTGTGCACTTTTGGCTGGACAATTTGTTTTGGCCTCTGCTCCAAATATATTTGCTGCGATTCTTTAATGGCGATAGAGCTGTTCCAAAGCTTTTGATGCGTACCCCTCCCTTGCCTCTCCACTGAGGTGCCCTTTCCTCTTAAACTCTGTCGAGCCTTGGCGTATCTTCAAATCTTTTTTACATACATCTGAAATTCTGTTTCTACTTGGTCAGATTTTGCCTAATTTCTTCCAGTTTTGTTCTTTGATACGCATCCCTTTTTTACTTTTCTTTCTATCTTGCCTTGTAATCTTCTTGGGGCGGCTGCTCTCTACTTCACTTCATGTGGGGTTTCTCAGAAACTATTTCTGGTGTCTGATGCAGCCATCTTTTTCTACAGGATTGGTGTTGAGTTTTGGGGTATACCCTTTAAAAAAAACACACCCAATAGTCATAAATTGTTGAGGATTAAGGTTTGCGTGTTTGGTTTACTAACTCTACTCTCTAACCAGTTGAATTCTTTCCCTGCCTAACTATACTTTGAATTGATGGTGGTGATTTTCATCTGGGATTCATGTTGGCTTCTGAGAATGAATTTCCTCTTATAGAATTTATTTTCTAAGTTCTTTAGTTGGTGTTTAGTTCTTTGTATTCTGAAGCTATTTTCAAAGTGCTAAATTTGGGAATATTTCTTCATTATATTCCCTAATTTCTCTCTGAGATCCAAGTTGGCGTTTGGGTGTTGCTACACTATAGAAAGCTCCTCACTGTACTAAAAAGTGCTTGAAACCAGGAGCGGATCTAGAAACTTTCTTGACGGGGCCAATTGACCCTCCTCTGTTTTTGGCTCTACTTGAAATGATGTCTTATAACACCTCAGATTTCGTAGTTTTTACATCCTTCTTTCATTCTTCTCGTTGCTTGGCTTGATGGTTTAAATTTTGATCTTCTCACAGGTTGACTTACATGTGAATGTAATGCACTTGATGTTTCAAAGGTAGTGTACCTTGAAATAAGCTGCTTAATTTTAACCATGACTTCCAGTACAAATCAAAACAGAAAGGAAAGCTTGCTTAACGAGGTAATTTGCTGCATAAAATTCTAGCTTGTCATGCTTATAAATTCTCGTTCCAATTTCTTTTGCAAATTGTTATGCTTTCAGTTTCAGGGATCTGAGTGTGTCTTTCAGGTTGCAAGCTTGGAAAAGCAGTTGACAGCATCAATCCTTTCCAAAGGGATATTGCATTCAGATGTTAAAGATCTGTACCACAAAGTTTGTTCAATTTATGAGAGAATCTTCATCAGTGACCATGAACAAGTAGAGCTTCAAGATATTGAATACTCTCTGTGGAAGCTTCATTACAAGCATATTGATGAGTTTCGGAAAAGAATCAAGAGAAGCTCAGCAAATGCGGAGAGCCCAAAGTTGGTGATAACAAAAAATCCTAATGACGTGCAGAGAAGTAGTAGCAATTATATTGCAGAATTTAGGTTGTTTCTATTGGAAGCAACAAAATTCTACCAAAAAGTGATCTCTAAAATCAGAGAATATTATGGGCTTCCAAAAGAAGGCTTGTTATATAAGGCATTTGGTGTTTCTAAAGGCATCAATCCGAAGAAGAAGAAGAAATGTCAATTTTTATGTCATCGTCTTTTAGTTTGCCTCGGGGATCTTGCTAGGTACATGGAGCAGCATGAAAAGCCAGATCTCCATTCCCATAAGTGGTTAGCTGCTGCTACTCATTACTTAGAAGCAACAATGGTTTGGCCGGATAGCGGAAACCCGCAAAATCAGGTAATTCTTTGTTACTGTCAATAAATAAAATTAGGTAGGGTCATCTTATGATCTTTTGATTTTCAAACCATGATATGAGATGGCATTAGTTTTTTTACTCACCTGTTTATATTTCTTCCCAGTTGGCTGTATTGGCAACATATGTTAATGATCAGTTTCTTGCTATGTACCACTGTGCGAGAAGTTCTGCAGTCAAAGAACCGTTCCCTGATGCTTGGGATAATCTTATATTACTATTTGAAAGAGTAAGATACATTCTGCGTTGCATTTTACTTTTTACCAATATTGTGGCATTTGCAAATGTTAACAATGTGATCTTACAGAATAGGTCGTCTCTTCTGCCTTCCCTGTCTGTGGATGTCCAGTTCAGTTTCTTAAGGCCGTCTGAAAAGAGCTGTCTTGAAATCAAATCACAGACCAAAGATGATCACAAGTCTTCAGAGACAGACTTGTTTTCTCTTCTTATCAGAACATTGGGGTTCTTTTTCATAAAATCCAGGTATTTTAACCGCTCAAAATTTTTGTGAATCGACTGATTTCACCGTATACACATTTTCATTGAGACTTATACAGATGCATTTCAACTTTTCAATTCTGTAAAATTAGACATGACCAACTTTTCAATTCTGATGAAGTTGTTTCTAGTGTTAGAATCAACTTGATGCTAAATTTCGTAGCAAGACTGCTGAACTGAAGCGGTCATCATTTTTTGCTTTGCCTATTCCATCTCCATTGAATTCAATCATTTTTTTCGTTTTCTAACATTTCCCGCTGGATTTTGATGCATTACAGTTTGGAGGAATTCACAAGTACATTGTCATCTATGATGAGATGGCTAGATGAACTCTTGTCTGTAGATGATTCTGAGCTAAGTGTTTCATTAGAGTCCTATAAGCTTTTGGATTCAGTGAGAACAGGCCCGTTCCGAGCCATCCAAATTGTTTCCGTATTCATCTTCATGCTTCAGAATCTTTTTATTAAAACTGATCTGAATGATATGCAGCAACTTGAGCTGACCCACTTGGCATTGGCTGCTACCTTTGTTGTCATGGGACGCCTAATTGAGAGATGTTTGAAGGCAACCCAATTGGTTTCTTTCCCTCTTTTACCCGCTGTGCTCGTCTTTGTGGAGTGGTTAGCGAACGTTCTTGATGGAGTATCAAAATATGGTTCTGATGAAAAGAGCAGAAGTTCCATGTCTTACTTTTTTGGTGTTTTTGTTAACCTTCTAGAGAGACTGAATGTTAATACAGTTGACGCAGAGTCTTCACTTGCTATCCCACTGTGGGAAGACTATGAATTAAGGGGCTTCACACCTTTGGCTTCTGCACATGAACCATTAGATTTCTCATCTCACTGGGAACACATGGACAACTACAAATTTGGAGGAAAACATCGTGCTTACCGCATAATTGTTGCTGCTACCAAAATTTCCAACACAGCTAATGATTCTCCAAAGTGTATCATCCACGATAAGACGCGGAAGGTCTTTTACATAGTAGAACAAAATGAACTTGCAGACAAGAAAGCATTGGAAAGTGCAAAGTCGAACATTGTTAGTCCAGATCCGCAAGTGCCAACTCGGGACGTCGGTGAAGATATCCCAGATGAAGTTCAGGATCAGAACCATCTGAATAAGAAATTTGTCACGGTTGAAGATGAAGAAGTCATTCTTTTCAAGCCCCTTATGAGGTATAATTCTGCACCGATCTCTATTGCAGGGAACGGTGAAATTTCACCAAAAAGCGTGGAGGATCAGACCGTTTCTTCTGATGAATGCTTGAGGCGTGCTACATCGCTACTTATAGCACAGACTCAGGGCCAGAGTGATCCCTTTGCTTTTCAAACAGACATTACAAATGTCAACTCAAACAAGTTATCTGAGCAGCATGATACTATGGTAAAAGATACAAGAGAACATCAAATGTCAGAAGGCTCCATATCTGCTGGCCCCCCCTCTCTCAGTGCCTGGGTGCTCAATAGAGGAGGTTTTACTTTGAACCCTGATAGAGAGAAAGGGACAAATGGTTTTGCTAAACCTGGTTTACAGCCGATTGACGAGTTAACTCCGACGTTTATAAATGGTTCTAGACTTGGTGATACCGAGAATTCTGCTTCGAGTCCCAGCCGTGAATCTGGAAAATCATACCAGTTTCCTCCTCCTCCCTATTCAGCCCCAACACCTTCAGCTCCTTATTTACCTGATGATGCCGTTTGGTTTAATGGTACCAATGCTGGCATGTCCGAAAGCAAAATCACTAGGGACATCGACCAAAATGGTACATTCTCAAATGCTTTTAGAGGAAGTCCAAATTGGCCTGCCACTCATGGGACACATGCATATGGCCCCTTGACTGCTGGCCTTCCGAATATACAACCGTTCACGCATCGAATGACTTCTTCTGAATGGCTTCGTCAGTATCGGGAGAATCACAATCTGGAGCGGGATAGTAGTCAGTTAATGCCAGCTCCCTACAATGCTTCAGGAAATCTTATGAACTTCCAAAGAAATGATGCTTCAAGGAATGACTATTTGTATCAAACAGGGAGCCAATTGGGTTATAATCAAACAATGAATATGGAGAGTCCATTGCGCCATCCAGCTTTCCCATTAGCTTATGGAACTAATGAAAACCAGAAAAACATGATCTTCCATGGTTACGAAAGGCCGAACCTTTATGGCTGCGGTGCTACTGACTTGAGAAGTGAGCAGCCGCCGCTTCTGCTGTATCTAAAAGAGAAAGAATGGCAGCTCCAGAAAGATGCTGCTAGCAGAACTCCCACCTATATGGGGAATTGAGGATTTTCATAGATTTTGTTTCAACAAACTCACTTCCTTTGTTCAATACATCACATTGAACTTTGGCAAACATTCAATGTTTCTCAGTACCGTAAATGCGAAACTGTTGAATGAAAAAGTTTGCAGTTGTATATACATGTGTAGTGTACAGAAAGTCGAAAGAATTTCGCAATTGGCAGAGAGGTAGATGTTGCAGGAGTTTGAAGTAAATGTGTATTATATAACTATCTCATGTAAACACTATAGAAGATTGTTTTCTTTTCTTAAGAACATGAGAAAGGTGATATTTATGTCTGATGAGATGTTGTACTTGATTCTTCTGCATTTATCAGAACATACAGCTGAAGAGTTCTCAGGCAAAATGCAAGTGAAAGAACTGCTATTTTCCAAATTCTTTATCATAATTTTGAAGGCTGACCTTTGGGAGGGTATGGAAATTTTGGCAGTGATTGATGGTATCTGTTCTGTTCATATTTTCTGAATCATTGAGTTTGGTTTGGGAGGAATGATTTTTATATTTTTATCATTCTTAAATTTTATATTCCCTGTGGAAGTGGTCTCTAAAATACGGTTTCATTTACAAACCATCCTCAATTTATYTAGCAAGTGATGATATTCTAATTCTTAACGGATGAATACATTGAGCCATCACTATATGCAATATTCGTTAACTTGAGCATAGTTCAATTAATTAAGTCACCTATCTTCGTTTGAATCCCCACCTTTATATATGACTTCAAAAAAAAAAAAAACTCTACTCCTATATTTATATTAACTACACTAAACATAGAATTTGAAACTAAAATCTAGTTTTTTTTTCCTACGAGCTATAATTGGCTAATACTACCAACGTTAGCATACTCATAATCATGGAATATACTATTTTTTTTGAAGTCAGGTTCAAATTTCCATCCTAATTATATTAAAACAAAGTAGTGTGTATGGAAAGGGGTAATCAAAGTTTTGAAAACTCTTTCTCCAATTTTTAATGTATTGTTTAGACTAATCTAAACATAGTTGAATGATATTATAACTTCAACTGCGAATATGGGAGGTTAGAAGATCCAATCTTGTTGAACTAAAAAAAAAAAGAAAAAAGTTTAGAATGAAGAGCTGCTGATCTTATCATGGGCCATGTTGCTGTGTTATTAGGAGGGAAAGCGGGCCAAGTTGATCCAAAAAGCCCATTAGTAGAGTGGGAGGATTCGAACTCGGATGAATGCTCCATAGCCAATTCGATCGCGCTCTGGTTGCTCTGTACTTCTTCAATGGCAGGCAACGATTCGGGCGATGGAGGAGTATCTTCAGCAGAAGCAGTTTTACTCGGAGCTTTAGCCCCTGGCGTCAACGTTAGTTCAAATTCACTTTTGATTTTCCATCTCCCCACCCCCTTGCAAATCCATTCTTCCAATTGAATTCCCATTTGTTTTTTTACCTTCTGAAATCAGGGTCCTACATGGACTACACTCAAGTCAACATTTCTGATGCTGGGTCTGTGTCTCGTCCTGATGCTTGGCCTCGCATTCTCTTCCAGCGACTCTTGGTTGATTCTTCATGTTACCTTCCTGGTGCTTATAACTGCGACCCTTTTCTTGCTGCTCAACTGGTAGGTTAAACTTTTTTCATGCTTGCTTTACTTATTGTTATTGTTCTTCTTATACACGTGGTTCTACTTGTTCCTCCTGATAAATTTGATGTTGGGGGTTTGTTTTTATATATTGTCTCTAAGAAGCATTATATTATTATGGAAGTTAGCTCACTTTAAGCTTGTAACTTAATTCTTCCTCAAATGCCAATTCAACAACTCTATTGATGAATTTTTTCATAAAAAAGCATGCCCATTTTTTCATTTTTCCCCTTTGATATACTTATTTTTTGTTTTATAGCCATTGGAGTGTGCTTAATGATAATTTACATGTATCTAATTAGTCTTACAAGACTATAACCTGATCCTATAATCCTACAATCTCTGGAGGATGGAGTCGTAGGAAGATAACTGCCCTACCTTAGGTAGGCGGCAGTGGCATATTTAGTTTTTAACCTATGGTCTCAAAGGCATCTAAGTACCTTTATGAAACCTTTTTCTTCACATACTACAGCTACAGTCCATTGGTGTTGTGTCATTTTCATTGTAGCAGTTATTGGTGCTTTTGCTTGTCTTAAAACTTGTGCTCTTTTGAGACCTGATTATGACTTTAGTAGCCTCTACCTCTCCAAAACCATGATTATCACTATTGAAGTAGGACAAATAGGAATGTCCATGAAGCAAAAAATGGGCAGGTGAAGATTGGAAAAAAAAAGGTCATGCCTGTCTCAATGCTGCCTTTCCCTTGTCAGCCTGAACACTTGCAAGATCTATTGTTAGACTATGAGAACCTCAATAAGTAGCTCATATAAGAAATCTCAGGCGCGCAAATTCGTACACATACAAAAAAATAATGCAATAGCGATAGCAATACTGATGTCAAGTTATAATCTGTTATATCTTAAAGTGAAATAGATGCCCATTGATGTGCAGCTTTTGATTCTCACAAAGATAACCATGCAATTTAATGAATTGGCCTTTTTTTTTTGGGAGTTCTCAACTTCTCCAGGAAGTGGAATTGCCTGTAAAGGACCACAAATGAAATCAAGGCATAGGATAGGATGATTAATTACCTAGAAGTATCTGTCTGTACTAACAGTGATGTAAAACTACTGACTGGCTGAGTAAAAGTATAGCTATAACTAACTCTTTATTACTTACTGATCTGAAATGGAAATACAGGCTGTAAACTTTTTATTCTTTCACGAATCACTTAGCCTATGCTAGAAACTGAACATTAAGTCCCGGCCCCATCAATAAAGTCTGATTTTCAATTTCATGCAGATTGACTAACTAGCATATCATACAACTATGTGTATGGTTAGTTTATGCATTACTTATGTACTATCATGATGCAATGCAAGGACAATTATGTAGGATACTAGTTCAGCTCCAGCATGCCAGCCTTATTTCCAAATAATCCAATCAATTATATTGAATACTTACAATACGAGAGGCTGAAAGTCTTGGTTTTCAGTGGCATCTGCTAACAGGAAATAAGGTTATTTATTATATGTTAAAAGGCAAAGGTCCTAAGGGCTAGAGGTGGCTAGGGAAATTTTGGAAATAGCTCACAATAGTTCCTAGGAAGACTGAAGAGTTTAAGGCCACCTAACATGATAAATAGAATTAGCAAGAGCAGAGAGCAGATAGCATCCAAGATAAGATTATAACATATGAGAAAATTTGAAAGAAGCTAGAGACTGGGAAATTTATCGAAATACTTTTACTAGGAAGTACAGAGTATCACATATGTATTGTTAAGTTGCTGGGTAGCATCCATCAAGTCTATGTATCGTGGGAGAAAGGAGAATGCCTTAAAAGAAAATGAATGGTTCAAATTTGATCTCTAATCTGTAATATATTATGCTGACAATCTTCACCATAATGCATAGGGCATGCCATAATTTTTGGCTTCTCTTTCTTTCCTCCTTTAAATGGTAGCTTCCACTTTCTGGAATGCTAATGGGGGCTTCTATGTTCTGGATTTAGCCGATTCATGAACTATGAACTCTCCATTTTTTTAAGTTTGTATGGGTCCAATAAAATGATATTGCAACATTTGGACACAACATTCTGGTGCCAAATCTTTTAGAACTTTTTAGTAATTTCGGCCACTTTGTACATCTGTTGCAGGCTTGCCCCATTGCTGAAACATGATAAATATATGAGTGAGAATATTGGTTTGTTTGTTAAAGCTTTGCCTTTCAAGTATATAATTGACTGCAAATGTTTGATTTGAATTTTTTTTTTTAAATCTTGATATGAGATATCAAATTGTTCAAAGTTTTGATTTTATGGTTCTAGCTAGATCCTCTACATGAATCTCTGTTTCAAGGCATTACATTATTTAAAAATATACAATTAACATTGCTGTATTATAAACGGCATATTCATGTTGCATTGTATCTGTGTTGTCCCTTATCCCTACCTCTTATTATGGGCCCTCCTCGGCCCACAGATTAACATTGATGTTATGCGTTTGTAATTTGCATATGCCTGGGCAGATGCAAACCATATGCTAGTTGATACATTATGCTGAATTGGCAACCTAGATGGCTAATGAAACTTGAGTTTCACTTGTACATCTTTTTCAGAATCCTGTTACTAACTACCCTACTGTTTTTATCATTGGGATGCTTATGAATGAGTTGCTTGGATTTCTATGATTCAGGTTTCTTTCTCAGACTGGGTTGGTTTCAGTGAAGAATCAAATGGAAGAACTGCAGTTGGCGCCAAAGAGCCAAGATAAAAGTGAAAAAAACGAATGATTTCTACTTTTACAGCATTTTAAACCAAGACACCAAGCTGGAAGAGATTTTCCTTAGGCGATGATATAGGCTTTATAAATCAATCAGGTACAAGTACAACAACATCTTCCATTATTTCAAGAGGGGAAAAAAGAAACATGATTTGCAGAAGAAACACTTGGAATGGCAACTTCATTCATTCTTGGATTCCTCCTCCTTGTGCTTTCCCTTTTTCTGCTTGATGTAACAGAAGCACGAACAGCACGGTAACTGTAAAAAGAACTTCATCCTTTTTTGTGTTTGATGTGAAAGTTAGAAGAGGAAAGACTAATATATACAGAAGTAAAGGCTCATTGTTGTTGTGTCTTTATTCCATTTTTCTCTTGGGATGCTATTCTTGTTTCTTACAGAGAAAGAAGATTCCTAGCCTAGCTTCCCCACTTCCTGAAATTAAACATGAGGAATCTGAGATTATTTTGTTGATTGGTCACTTGCATTGCAGCTTTTGTCTAAAAGTTTTCCTTAATGATTTTTCTTTCTTCCCCATCCCCTTTCTCATCTTGCCTTGTAAAGAGTTCATTTGGTTAAGAGCCATGAAATGGAAAGGCATAAATGGCTAAGATAAACAAATGATTGGAAAGCAAAACCTCTGCATGTTAGTTTAATTGGATTTTTATGAGTTTTAATACAAAACATTGCGAGGTTGCTGGAGACTTTTTTGATCATTGTGTTGGATGGCAAATACGTGACACGTGTCAGAAGGCACTGATTGAAAAATACATTTAACCAAAGATAAATGATGATATTTTGATAATTACGTTCGAAGTATACTTCTATGGTGATGTGCTACTTAGTCAAACAACAGTTGACTGCAGTGGTTGATATTAACGTAAGCTCTAGTTCAACAATTATGATATATACAGAGAATTTTTAATATGGTAGATAAATGAAAATTCTTGTATTTTTTTTTATTTTTATAGTTTTGTACTACATCTCAATATATATATATTTATACTTAGTAATTTTTGAGAACTTATAATTTCTTTATCAGAAACAAGTATAAATTATTTTGTCAGAAACAAGTATCAATAGCGTTAAATCCCCATTTGCACGCATGCGTGGCTTGAACTTGGGAAATATTGAGCAATTATTTTAATATATATATATATATATATATATTTATATATAAACAGTTATTTGCAATACTTCATAACGTTTTTTTTTTTTTTTTGCAAAGGAATACTTCATACATTTTACAAAGACGAGTTTTTCGACAGGTAAACTTGAAAAATTTTGTTCTAAATGAAGATAGAAGACTAAAAAACCAAAATATGGTATGTAATTACCAATTAGTAAACTGTTTGATAGGATTTTATTTTGAACGTGTTGAATGGGCAGGCAGTTTGAACAACGAGGCAAGCACAGCATCATCCACGTGGCTTCAAAAGCTCCACGTGTCATGTAGCAAACTCTGCCACTTCTCTCTATAACTGCAGCTTACAACACAGTAACACCACCGAATCAAACACGTTCAGAGAAGAAATCTGCGTGGTGTGTGTTCTGAATCTCATCTTGATAATTGAAACGATGGCGGCCACCATCTCCTTAGCCAAAAATCTCATCTTCAACCTCTGCAAAGGCAAGCCCTTTCCCAATGCTTCTCCATCTCTAAGATCTTCCACCAAGATTTCCAGAATCTCTTTTGCTACTTCCGCCTCTAAACATCCCTGGGTATAATTTAATTCCTCATATATTTTGATTCTGTTCATTTGGGAAGTTTCAATTAGCTTTTTAAATTTTCGAAGTTGTATCTACTCTGACCTTTTACAAAGTTTTAATCTTTATTTGTTGAGTTAATTTGGTGATCATTAGTATTAGTTCAATGCGTGATCTTAAAATTCTTTAAATTTCTAGACTAAGCGTGGTGAAAGCTTATTTGGAATTCAAAACTAAGGACCACCTTTAAATTTAAAAAACAACAAACAATTTAAACAATGAAGTGTCAATTTTTTAACTGTAGTCAAGATTGATTTTTTATTTCGAAAATATTTGGCTACCGAAGTGACCTAATTTTTTTTTTAAATATTAAATATTTGATAGTAGTAAGAACAAATTCTTATTATTTTGTCTAAGATTCTTCTTATTGTCTGCGGTTTAGGGTGAAAATGGCGGGGAGGCGAACAGCGACCCGAGGCCAGACTTGGCTTACCCGAGGCCAGACTTGGCTTACGAGGACGCGAAGGAGAGAACGAAGGAAGGAGGCCAAGGAATGAAGGAGAAAGCCAAAGAGTACGCAGAAGCGACCAAAGATGCGGCGGAAGAGAGTAGCAACAGAGCGGCGGAGACTGCACGCGCCGCCAAGGAGAAAGTAAAAGACTACGCACACGACGCGAAGGAGAAGGCGAAGGAGGGCACCGAAAGGGCAGCGGAGACGGCGGAGCACGCGACGGAGAGAGCTAAGGAATCCGCGAAGGGGATGAAGGAGAAGACGGAAGATGCTGCCGGAGCGGCGAAGGAGGGGGCGCAGAATATCGGGGAGAAGGCGAAGCAGACGGTTCAGGGGGCATGGGAAGCGGCCAAGGACACGACGCAGAAGATAAAGGACACGGTAATGGGGACCAACGGTGACGACCAGAAGAAGGTGGTGGATGAGGATGTTGAGCAACTCAGGAGAAAATCTGGGACGAAGCTTGATGATGATTGAAAATGGCTGCCTTCGATGATCACTTCTATTTTATCTTCCATCAAAATCAAATGAAATCAATCTTCTTTCAATCTTGATCTTTTTGGCTTTCCACGGATGAATATTTTATGTATGTTGTTTTTGTTTTGGATTAAGCAGGCCCTTAAATTACAAATTTTTTGTTTTTTTGTTTTTTTTTTATGACGAGCATATAATTTCGGACCAATTTGGTGGCAAAGAGATGAAGTTGACACGAGACGCATCTTGCACATAATTTAAGAACAGAATTTTGGCGGTTTAAATCCTAAATAAACAATATTATCAAAACATGCATAGAAATGTATATCAAATAATAAATAATAAATACGCGTTTTGACCACGCATGCATGTAAACGGAACTGGAAGAGTTCTAGAATGGAATAATACTCTTTTTAAATAAAAAACAAAAGAAATTAATGGCGGTTTCTCTCAAGAGTGGAGACCATTGCAATCAGAATATTATTGTTAGGCACTTGAAAGAAAAAGCCGAATTTATGGTTGTTTTTGTTTAGTCTTGTAACTTGGAAAGAGAGAAACAAGAAACATATGATATGACGCCAACGTTCAACATCTCTAGAAATCTTCACAAGCTTCAGGTAAGTACTATATTATATTATATATTTATGACCAAAAATGAATATTATTATTATCTTGAGCTTCTTTTAAAACGGTTAGGCCACGTCGAGGGCCCTGATCGACCAAAAAAACGCTCCCTTTTTTTGCATGCGCACCAAAATCCAAGCCCCAAACTCCCAAAGTCAATACTACCCTTTTCCCACACCACACCAAAATCCCAATTTAAGCTCAAATTTTCATTTTTTTTTATAGGCAACAAAAGATGGCCACTACTACTGCAAATGAAGATCAGACGACGATGAAGGCACAGAAAGAGAAATGCCCTCGCTGTCACTCCTTCAACACCAAATTCTGTTACTATAATAATTACAGCCTCTCACAGCCACGCTATTTTTGCAAGTCATGTAGAAGGTACTGGACTCAAGGCGGCACCCTCCGTAACGTCCCCGTCGGCGGCGGTTCTAGAAAAGGAAAGCGTCCCAAAATAACCACCGCTGCCGCCGCCGTCACGTCACTGCCTCCTCCTCCTCCTCCTGCGGCGGCGGTAGAATTTGCCAGTACTAGTGGTGGGTATTTGGCGTCTGTGGAGTCGCCGCAGATTTTCAATCAGTCTACTCTCGATCATGTGGGGGTTTATTCGTTTGGAGCAGAATTACAAAATTGGCCTCATCGGAGCTTTGGCGACGATCTTAATCCGGCGGTGTCAGATGCCTCCACGTGGACCATCAACGGCAGTGGCGCTACGGCTTCTTCATCTGCAGCTGCTTCAGGTAATAATCAAAATTCAAGCGCTGCAAGTTGTAATTTGGATCACTGGTCGTCTGATCATGATGATCATCATCATCTGCCACCTGGCTATGGCCTTCCGCCATGATTTTATGATCTTCTGTGTTATTTTTTCAATTCTCGCATTACCTACCGTTACCAAGCTTCTCATACATACCATAATTTTAAAGACTCAATTTTTATCTCTGTAACACACACAAAAACATATAGAAGATATTTATTGCATGTTCACTTTTTTTTCCCCTAATCTTTACCATCAAAGAGGCAGCCATGTGTGTAATAATTTTGATGGGTTAATCTCTTAGTTTCTTATTTTTCAGCTTTCTTTAGGTGTTTGAGAGTTGTCTTGGTGTTTATTTCTCAATTCAAAATAGTTTTCTTTTTCCTCCTAAAATCGATGTCCGAGTTAGTTGTTTGGACCGTATTGCAATTAGTACAAGACTCAAACTTGAAACCTCGAGGCAGTTCCTAAGACTACGAGTGCTGCCACACCACCATCTCACATGTTTTTTTCTTTCTCATTTCTCATTGTTTTATTGTTCCCGAACTTTTTTTTTTGTTTTCTGATTTTATTTTTAAATTTTCTTATATATAAATAAAAATATTATTTTATCACTTCTAACTTTTTGTGAATTTTTATTTTTAAGTTAATATTTGAGAATGAGAAACTAATAAAAATAGTTATCCAAACAAAATTTTGTTTTATTTTATACAGAAAAACGCAAAATATAAATTTAAAAAAAAAAAGAGAAATGAGAATATTAGCGTCGAATTCACAAAATTTATTCCGGTTACTTTTATTAATAACCTTTTATAATGCAAATTCAAAATATATTTACTTTACAAATAACTATTTGATACAAATTAAATTGTTATTTTAGCTTCAATGGTATAGAATGGTGAGCCAGCACTATACCAAGCCCTAAAATAATATATCTCCCAATTCACACACCACACCAAGGTTTCATAATTACTTTCAAAATTCTCTCTTTGGGTAATGGGTGTGTTGTTGCATGCATCCACATATGCATGTCAAAATTTGATTGCTAAGCCAGATGTGAACGCCATAGCTCATAATCATCACATATATATATGCATGCATGTCTATTTCGTTTTGATAATACATTGCGACATTTAATTTATTGATTCATAAAGGTTTTGGTTAGTAATGTTATAAAAAGAAACTCACCAAACCCACTAAAGCAAAATTCATTACTTTTGATTAATTAATTTAATCCCATTTCCTAATCAAACAAAGTAGCTCACCGCATCTCTTCTCACACACTCACATATCTTAATTGCTCACATCAGTTTCCCTTTTGATACCTTCAATAATTTCGAGTCTTGTGGTATCAGTTATCATGAACTATTGGTTCACGTTCAGTCTATGTGTTTGTACAGTTCTAGGACCACACGAAGACATTGATTATGGAAAATAATTTATTTTTTAATTAATTTAGTTATGTATTATAAGTAATCACAATCCACTTTTCGAGTGAGAGAATCTTATCGATTAAAATCAATGACTCGTTTAAATGTAGTGGGATGTGATGGTGGGCATCGTGGTTTCTGAGTAAGCCAAAAATATTCTTGGGTCTGCCACCTCCAGAGATCCCTTTCTGAATTGGCTCTTCAAAAATGGGATGATTCTTAGAGTTTTACTGTTTTTGTTTGAATATAATCTTAGTTTGTCCTTAATAATTCCAAGTCTTGTCCAGTACTGAAAACGACAAGAAAATAATTAAATAATTCTAATGTTACATCAAGCTGCAAAGGACAAAAGAAAACCCGGGTTTCAAATAACCTTGTCACATAAGAATTCCATCTTTCTCGAGATATCACATCAATGTGCAAATTGTTGATTGGGATTGGATTACTGTATTTTGGCCAACCTTCCTGATTGATATTTTGTCCATGTTCGGAATAATTAATAGGACTATCCAATCAAAGACCTAATTTTTCGAGGTACATCGCAGTCTAGTAACAACAAAAGAAAATACAAGCACTAATAGAAATATGGATAAACGTCACGAAAGGTTTTCGTGACGGTTTTTTACGGTGTCACCTATACGTCCATCACAAAAGGTATACGTGGCGTTTAAAAAACATTACGAGAATTAGCACATTGTCATAACGTTTCTTAAACGTCACAATAAGTTTAAATTTCTAACTTTTTTGTGATGTTTTTTAAATGTCACAAAAAGTTAAAATAATATCGTTTCACCTCAAAAAAAATGAGCCTCATTTTTTCATAACGATTCTTAAACATCACGAAAAATAACTTTTCAAAAAACGCCACGACAAAGTTAGAAATCTAAATAACTCCGTCTTTTCTTGCAAAAACATGCACGGTTAGAAAAACGTCACGAAAAGTCAAAAATTCGAGACACTCCGTCTTTTTCCGCCAAAAACGCGCCTCACCTTTTTGTGACGTTTTTTAAACTGTCACGAAAAACGAACTTTTTGCCAAACTTTTCGTGACGATTAAAAAACGTCAAAAAGCCAAACATCCGGAAATCTCCATTTTTTCCCGTCAAAAACGCGTTTTTTTACCTTTCGTGACGTTTTTTAAAATTTCAATAGTATTTTACTGTTCATGAGCGTCACAAAAACTCAATTTTCTAGTAGTGAAGATAGAGATAAAAGAAGTTTGAGTTTATATTGGTTCATTAGACATGAAGATTACAATAGATCCCTCCTTAACGTAATTCTCTATCATTTCTTCTTGAATTATCGTAATAGCCAACGTCTCAACGCTACAAACATGTACTATCTTAACCCATCTCTTGTACTACTTTAAACAGTGTCCCCTACTCTCGGGTCCACTGATTTGAAGTGTCTTGTTTTGGCTTCACAAACTCAGCCGTTCAAATGGTCGGAGGAAGAAATTTTAGGAAAATCTTGATATACTGTGTGCTCAAGAGATGTTATATAATAATCAATAAGTTTGAAATAAATAAACTTTCCCATTTGATTTTAATAATGTTATCAGAGTTAATTCAGTAATGTGTGACATCAAACCACAGAGATCGAGAAAACTATTGGACAGTCTAACAAACGTTGGAAGACTAATGGGGCACTAATTTCAATTCTAGTACTCATTATGTTTGACTAATTAAACCTAGTGTGTGATACATATATATATTTTTTGGGAAAAGCAAGTGGTCCCATAATAAAATAAGAAGATCGCCAAGTTTTATTTCCCCTATTCGAAAAAAAAAGTGTATTATACATGATTTAGTTTATTAAATATATAGAGACAATAATAAATAGGCTGATACAGAGAAGAAAAATGAAAAAAGGCAATCGAATAATTAGATCAAACCTAATAAGCAAAGCAAGGTTCTTATTCCAGGTTACGGAGTTTACCTCAAAATCAATTAATAATGAAAAGAGTAGACTGTGTATATTATGAATCTTTTGTTAGGTCTCAATATTTTCAACATGAGATCTTTAACATATTCGATTCAAGATGATGACTCTTTACCGCTCACCAATTTCGATGAGATTCTTTTTTGGACCAAATCTCATTTGACCCTTTTTTGACTATGATATCCTATAAATATTCATGGGTTATATTTCAAAACTAAAACTCCAGGAATATTAATAAATTTTTGTTAGGTTTTATATTTTGTTAATACGTGGAATCTTCGTTATATATCAATTTATATAAAATATCTATTAACACAAATATCCCAACAAGCAAGAGAAGGCTACTAGTCCGAATACATTAGTCACCCCACCATGGTTATCAAAGCTAAAGAATAGGTGTTGTAATAAAGAAGATGTTAGTTAGTTTAATATGGAGAATAAATAATAATGTTGGAGTGAAAAAGAGGTAGAAAATGGGGAATCGGGAGGAGGATTGTTGCAGAAGGTGAGAGAGATATATGCATGGAGATAGAAGAATCCGTTGTCTAGCTTTAGCACCACATCAAATATGGTCCCTTTGGTTTTGATTTGATTTGATTGATTGATGTTTGGTGTGGTGTGGAGTGTTGAAAATTGAATCTAGAAATTAGGCACAAGTGGGCGGCTGCGGCTCCCACTTTCCCTCAAACATCCCATCACCACCACCACTTTTTCGCCCCATTGTCTCTCCACTGTCTCTTCATGCCAATGCTCCTTCTCTTATTCCTCAATAATCTGTCAAAACATAGAACTGAATGCTCTGTTTTTTTCTTCTTTTACTGTTCAATTTGTTGTTTTATGACAAAGGACATGCTTTGATAGGTTTGCAGCATGAAGTTGATCCACTTTTTTTTATTAATTCAAGATATCCAGAGAGAATTTGGTTCGCAAACTGAAGTCTACTTCGTTTTCAAATGGTATGGATTCATTGTCATATCTGTTTTTTAAAAAGTTTTTCGAATTGTGTAATTTAAATAAACAATATTTTTATGTTTTGAATGTTTTTTCAGTTTATGAATTTGAAATTTTAATAAAATATAGAATTACATTGAAATACAAAAATTTTGATAAATATATTATTGTATTATGTTACAAAATTATTTCATTTTTGTTAAAGTTAATGAATGTAAAGTATAATATACTATATAATATTGTAAAATAGTAATTCTACCAAAAAAAATTATAACATATATGTTAATAAATTAATTAATATTAGTTTAGATTAAACATTTAATTGGTAACTACGACAAGTTTACAAATATACGATGAGGTTCAGTTTCTAAATGTACTACCAAACACACATTTGAAAACACTAAACACAATTTTGTTTTCATTGAATCCCTTGTTTTCAGATTTATCTATTTCCAGATCACCAATTAAACACGCCCTTAGTTACCTGAGAACTAAAAAAGAAAAAAATTATCCTTACTTTTGCATTCCTCCTTTCTATTTGTCAAAAATATATTAGTGGTCAACTTGAATTTATCGTTGTCTAATCAGTAATTAAAATATATATATATATATATATATATATATATATATATATATATATATATATATATAGTTTTGGATTTACTCTTTTTTAGGGAAGGTTATCTATTATATATAGGTGAAATAAAAGACAAAATTGTCAGAGTTATACTCAAAACGGACAATTATACTCCTACAAAATTTTGTACCGCCATGCATGAAATTTTTTCCATTTATTTTTTATTTTAAAAATTATTTCAAAATTAAATAGTTTTTAATGTGTTTAGTTAGTATATTTATATGTGAATAAAGGTGAAGTTGATTTTGATTAGCTTAAGATTTAAAATTGGTACTGCAGAATGTGGAAAAGTTTTGGGTTTGCTTTGGCATTCAGTTATTTGGTTGTGAAAGAAGTTATAATTTGGACCCATATTATTATTACCCCATGCTTGCTTGCCTTACTCGTTTTGCGAGAGAGAGAGATTGCCTATGTCGGCTGCGGCTGCTCTTTTTAATTAATTCCATTTGGGTTTTATTTTTTTCCCCCAAAAATGGAACTTGAGTATATTTTTTTTTTTTTTGGTTTTTCCTTTTTCCTTATCCATTTACCAATGGTTGGCGATTTGCATGCGACCTTATAATACTCATCTCAATAACTTCGTGTTCAAACATATAACTACTTTCATTCTTTAATTTGGATTGTTCTTCAATGAAAAGTCAGCAATTGTTTGTAAATTACTGCCCACTATCAACTTTATATGGTTGAATATGCCAATACAATTCCATAAAGTTATTAAACTATTAGTAAAATCATTATATTTTTTAGTATACCGTCTCTTGAAGTTTATATTATTATATAGCGTAAAAGTATAGAGGCAAATTTTTTGTCCTAGCTAGCCAAATAAACCATATCGAAATCGAACCATAAGCATAACATAAATATGAGATCATCATCACACAAATATTGATAAATACTATGTATAAATCTTCTTTTTAATCGCATTATTTGATCCTTTAAGATCAAGTATTTCTTGATCTACTATTGCAATAGGACGTTTCTAAAAGCACAAAAGTTACTGCAAGAATTTTTTTTCCCTTATGAAATCTTTAAAGAATATACCTTTGGGCGACGAAATTTCCGGAACTTGAAAATTAAACTCGGTGGCAAAACTTCCCCGATTTTGGGAACTTAGTTACCAAAACTATTGGCGATGGTGACTTTTGATCCTAGTGGTAAAATTTGAAATTTATCTAGTGTAAGACTTGAGAGTTTCATAAAAAAATGAATAAGAAAAAGGTTTTAAAAAAAAAAAATTGCATTCAATAGTCAATTTGAGAGACCCACTTTTTGGGCCAAGTCCAGAGTGATGCAGATGAGAAGCCCTTTATCAGGAGGCACTCTGTCAGCAACAGTACTAGTCTCCCGAGGAAAGGGGAGATTATTTTACCCACCATTTTATTTATTCTTTTAATTTTTATTTTTACCTTTTAAAAATAAAACTTATTTTACTTACCTTTTGTTTTTTTCCTTAAAAAATACATACTTTTTCTCCGTCAAAAATGAAAACTCTTCTTTTTAAAGACCTAAAGAAACAATGTGTGAAAGAGTGAGAAAACAAAAAAGTTGCGAAAGTACACTTACAAACCTAAGCTATTATGTACATCTGAATGAACTTCATTGGTTATTAGTATTTAAGTCCAATAAAAGATTTTTAAATAACAATAATGAGCTTTTTTTTTTCATAATATATATATATATATATTCTTTTTAGTTCTTTTTTTGATCATTATATGTTTATTTTATTTTTTTGAAGGACATTATATGTTAATTTGATTACGAAGTATAATGAGCTTTGAAAGAGTGGCCTATATATCCATGAATATTGAAACTGCCATACATGCTATATAGTTTACATTAAACATTTACAAACTTATTGTAATTTCTTTTCAATTATAAATCTAGTTTAACTTGCCGCATATATATGGTATGATTGTAGACAATTTTCTCTAAATTCAACTCTTTATTTTTTAAAAGATTTTTTCTTGAAAATTTACACCACTTATATGACTCTACCCTACATTACGATAATTATGATAACATGAACGATAAACATTAATATTCTCGAAAAGAAAAAAACACATGAGCAAATATTAACCAACGAGACAATGGAAGCTAAGAGAATTATATGGGACAATTAGAATTTCAGATCAAACCATATGATGATATGAATTCACTGATTAATACAAAGGTTTAATTTCCAAAGACCCAAATCTCCCCTCCCCCTTCTCTATACCATGACACCATTATACCCAACCCCACCAAATTAAATA